TGGTGAGTAGTGGTGACAGGTGGTGGTGGCAGGTGGGTGGTGAGTGGTAGTGGCAAGTAGGTGACGGCTGGTGGTGGCGGGCGGTGGATGGTAGTGGCGGGTAGTAGGTGGTGACGGGTGGATGGCAGGTGGGTGGTGGTGGTGGCGAGGGGTGAGTGGTGGTGGCGAGTGGGTGGCAAGTGGGTAGTGGGTGGTGGTGGCGGAAGACGGTGGTGGAAAATGGTAGCGGGTGGTGGCTAGTGTTGGGTGGTAAGAAAAAAAAAAACTGAAAACTCAAAATGGAAACACATTTTTTGTGTTTTCATTTTTTGGCCAAATTTATAAATTGAGACCACTGATTTATAAATCAAAAATTTTACCAAACAAATTTTTATTTGAGTTTTTAAAATTTTTGTAAATATAAACAGAAAACAGAAAACGTAAGTATTACCAAATGACACCTATATAAACAAAATAACACACTATATAAGATATTGAATGAATCAACACTATAGATATATATATATATAGAGCAGTACCAGTAAATATGTATATAGAAAGAACAAAGAGGAAGTGAAAGAAAAGAGATAGAGAGAGCATCGAGAGAGAGAGTAGCGAGAGTACCGACGAGGAGGAGGAGAAACCAATGGCGAGATGATCGGCAGGGGAATGAGAACGTAGCGGCGGCGGTGAGAATAACCGACCAGCGGTGTGTGTGAATCGATGCAAAATGCAGAGCAGCGGCGATGGGTGTATGTGATGAACGAGATGAAATTGAAATGTGTGGCTGTGTGTGGGTATTAGGGTTAATGGAGGAATGATTGTGTGTGAGAGGGTGTATAACAGCTGAATTTTTTTTTTTAAACATAGGCGGGTTGGGTCGGGTCGACATGTGGTTTGGGAAATTTAACCCGCCACCCGCACCGACCCACAACTGCTGGTCCTCCCACTCGCCCAACCCGCTCGCCAGAACTGAAATTTTGCGCGATTCGGTGCGGTTTTGGCGATTTTGGCAGTATTATGCACAGCTCTAGTGGTCATACCTCATAACTTCTTGTACATGTACAAATTGATAAGTTTATGTTATACCTGGACGAAATGATTTCCGTTGACAAATCCAATGGCAATCTCACGTCTATCAAGTTGAGGTACTGGCACTGTTCTAAGAGGTAAAAAGGTGAGACATTGCTGTAATGACAAGTGGTATAACACAAGATTGTAGCGCGATGTAACAACCCATGTCTGGCATAGTCATCCAATGTGAGTATCCAGGACTGTCTTCAAAGTATGGCAATGTGCTTGTCAATTCTTCAAACCTTTCGTAGGACCCATAAAGTGTAATGTATTCCTCTTTGTGTGTGTGCAGCTCACCTAACAGATCATGCCTAACCTGAGCCCAATCATCTTCTGTATGACCAATTGAAGTAGCTATAGCCCTGAAACCGCAATTCCCATCTGCAGCTACATCCTTGACAAACTTAATGTATGGTTTCAACCCAGAAGGGAAAGCATTAACATATGCACCAGGTTTCACTGTTCTAGTAATGTATACCTTCCATTTCATATTCACCTTCTCCTTTCTCTTAACAGGTCGCTTCTTCTTGGTTTCCAAAGTAGAAGCTAATGTAGTGATTTGAGTGTCCCTAGGTGAGAAAGAATCATGTCCAGATTGCACCAACTCAAATGCACACGGGTCACGACGGGTAGAAACATTGATCTTTTTATGATCCCGAGGACGTGTTTTGGGCTTCACCTCCAGCTCAATAAGAAAAGTGTTTCCCGGATATACAATCTCTTTCAACTTCTTCAAAAGCTCCAACCGCGTGGTTCTATCACTTTCATTAAACTTGTTCACAAACAACTCTACTTCTGCATGATAACTCACCTCCATTTCCTCTTCTTTCTTGCATATGGAGATATGAAGTTGCCTCCACTGTGAGTGTATGGTAGCAAGTGGTATAGGACGATCTTGTTTGATGTAGTCAGCAATCTCATGGGCACAAGGTAAACCATGAGTGTGGCGAAGGACGCATCCATAAGCTTCAACATCAATACAAATGGAATTGGCTCTCTTACTCTCTACAAGCAAATACTCCAATGCAGAGATAGATACATTATCCCATAGCGCCCTGAACTGAAAAGGTTTAAATTGATGTTGCATAACAGTTAGACTTTTCTCAAATGAAGCCTTGATATCAGTGTGTTGCAACTCAAGCAGGCTGTGTATTTTCTCAAATGATGCCTGAAATGAGACTTGACATGAATCTAATTGTCTTTTAAGTTTTGCATGTGCACTTTCAGCCCTGTTCAATTCAATGTAAGTCAAATTAAAATCAAGTACATGGCACTTATTAATAACATATTGAACAAAAGTAATCTTACCGGTTCGTTGTAACATTGCCACAATGCATACACGTGTCTGTCCATGCCGCCACAAATTTCTCCTTGTAAGGAACCAACCAAGTATCCATGACGTATTTGACTGCATCAGGATAACTACTGAATTCCTTAAAGTAATGATTTAAGACGCTCATCGTATTGAATTTCAGAAGATGAATACACTAAAGAGTTCCACTCATGGTTGAACTTTTCCCATTTCTGCTGTGTCTCAAACATTTTCTTGCATTTGGTCAATACATTCTTACTGATATGCCAACGGCATAATAAATGTCTACCACTCGGGAATATCTTTTGTATGGCATTCATCAAGGCTAGTTCTCTGTCAGTAACAATAATTGTTGGCACAACAAAACCATCCATGATATCATGCAATGTAGCTAACACCCACGCATAGTTATCGACCCTCTCATACTGTAAGTATGTGAAAGCTACAGAGAAAGTCATTTCAGTTAATGTCACTTCCACAATTTCAAGAAGAGGAAGACGATATCTGTTGGTTTTATATGTGCAATCCATAATTAATATACGTGGGAAAGACCGAAATAAGTCCAAACTGGTAGGATGTGTCCAAAACAAGTCTATCACAGTCATCGTGGACTCTTCAGACCGATGGCGCTCAATGTAATTATACTTTGCCAATTCACCCAATAAGTGTTGCATCTGTGATCTTCCAGCTCTCTGTACCATCCTGTTTCAATGGCATACATTGTAAATGGTTTTAAGTGTGCTTACATTGAGGGCATCTCGTTGTTTCAAGGTTACTAGGATTTCTTTTGGCCGAACCATGCTCTTTGACATATCCATTAGCAATGCTTTCTCATCCTTTGATAGCCTCCCCGCATATAAATGTCTCTCAAGGTGCTCCGCAGGTGGATGGTTATGCAATCCGCATACTACGGTCAATGTCCATTCATCATGTGTGGTAAACCTGTGAGCCCTCATATCAAAAGGACAATCACACTTCTTCGTACTGGTTATTTTTGATGTATTGTTGCCATCATGTTTTAACTTCTTTGTCGCTCTATATTGGCCATTCCTCTCACAAGCAAGATACATCCTGGGTCTTTTTTTCCCTCCACCATAGTCTGATGTTTTGATTACAATGACCAAACCATTTCTCTTTCCAACTTCACGTACCCAGTTGAGCAATTCATCCTTACTTTTGAATACCTACAAAGTTAAATAAATATTATCAAACATTTACATTTGGTGAGCAATTCAAAACATAATCGTTATAATTTCGTAGACTAAACCTGTTCTGTTGTGAATTGAGTGGTGTAATCTAACACAAAATCCACGCAAACCTGACTTCCTTGAGTTGACACATATTCCTACATGTTTTGTATAACATTACAAATTTTTAATGGCATTATAAATATTAATTTGCAATTCGAAACTGTAAATTTGGTATGCAGTTTACAAATTTGGAATATAAAATGGGAAATTTTTTTTTTTACTTCATTCGGAAGTAGTTGTCCAAATTCATTTTAAAATTTCGGAAGTTGAATGTTGTAAAAGTTAACTTATTTCAAACAACAACTTCCGAAATTAAATACTTATTTCAGTAGTAGATTTCTGAACAAAATAATATAATTCAACTCTGTTTATTTGAACGACGCTGGAAAAAGAAGAAGAAGAGAAACTCACATTTCCTTCGCTATGTTTCTCATAAACATTTATTTGCTGATTTTCAGAAGACAAATCCTCCATAACAATGATGAATGAGGAAGAAGCTACGAATGAGGAAGGTTGATGCTTCCCTTCTAGCTTAATGTATGATGAATGAGTGTATTGAGAAGCTATGACCTTGGAGCTTAATGGAAGAAGCTACGAACTTGGAAGAAGCTACGAATGAGTGAATCAATGCTTTCACTTCTAGCTCAATGGAAGAAGCTGAACTTGGAGCTTCAACGTGAAGTCTGGATGGATGTGTGCATTGAGACGTTTTGAATTGGATAGATGTCTAAAATAGTAATTACACTTAGGGATAAAATTGTAATACAAAAAAATATCATTAAGTGTGTGTATAGAGAGGATTTGGTGTGTGTAGATAGAAGCTCCCGAAGAAGGTTTGACAATACTTTTTTCTTGACTTTTTTACCCCTAGATCATGACCCTTTTGGTCAATTTTGCAGAGCAAACTACACTTTCTTATCTCTTTCCTTTCTAATTCTGGTAGGAGAATAAAGTACATGTAGTTTATTAAACAATAATGAGTTCTTGAGAAAAATAGATGTTTCTTCACAAATATAAATCAATGATAAAAAAATAAAAATATGTAGAAAATAAAATAACAAATGTACAAGAGAATTTTTTAGAAAAATTACAAAAAGAAAAAAAAAATCTCATAGTTTGACTCTTATAACAAAATAAATTTTAAGTTTTAATTTTTATTAATTTAAATACTAATTTTTTGATTTGTTTTCAGTTTTCATCTAACCACTGTGTATTTTTGTTAAGTAAAATCAACGAAAAAAAATGATATTTTAGTAATTAATCTTCATGAAAAATGATATTTTAGACATAAAAGTATATTTGCAATGAGTTCAATAGCTAAAATACTATTTTTCTCTAAGTTAATGGAAATAGACAAATAATTTAAATTGAAAACACATCATAAAATTAATATTTAAATTGACAAAATTAAAACTTAAGATTTATTTTAGGAAAAATTAGTGAAACATCCATCTCGAATTTTGTGTAGTAGGAGAGGCCCAAGATTTTTTTTTTATTAGCTAAGGTCCCTCAACATTTTTACAGAGAAAATTCGACTTAATTTTTTTTTTTCCGATCTTATAAAATCTTAATATCAGGGACTTTAAAAAAAAATTTCATTTATTTTATTACAAGACTTAAACTCTAGGGTCTTCTTCTTTTTTTTTTTTGTATTTTTCCGGAATTTTTATGTGATTTTTTATGGTAATGAAATCTAATTTTTACTGTCATCAAATTATATACAGATAAATTATAAGAAACGCAGAGATTGCAGAATAGATAAATTTTAACAAATCATAATATAACAAGAGAAAAGTCATTCCTGTCTAAAAAACAAGAGAAAAGCCAACACCAAATAATTGAATAAATATCTTCTAAAACAAGCTGAAGAGCACCCAAAAAAAGATGTGCTATTTAAGACAAAAAAAAAAAATATATATCAAAAATGATTGAGGCCTCGAATTTGCCTCGAAATCATTTTTTTTTTTTTTTCAAAGCTGTTTTAGTTTGGTTTTTTTTTAAAAATTTTTTTTCTCTCTTTTCTTTCTAGGGGTGATTATGTATAAGGGTGTACTAAAAAACTAGACATTTTGTAAGTGAGTTGGATTGGATTGATTGGGTAATAAAATTGACTAATCAATTTTTTCTTAATTTAATTTAATTTTATTTGTTAGGCTGTGTTGGTTTTTTTTTTTTTTTTAATTTTTTTTAAAAGTAGTTATGTGTAGCGGTGTGCCAAAAAACTAGACATCTTATACTAACTCATCGTACAAAATTATATGGAATTAACGAATTTTAACCAACAGTCTAACTGATCATTCAATTAGGTTAGACTGATTAAGTGATAAAATTGACTGATTAATTAAACTATTGGTTAAATTTTGTTAAACTGTTGGTTAAATTTTGTTAATTTCATATAATTTTATATGATGAGTTGATGAAAAATGTATAGGGTGTGTTTGGTAACGTTTACGTTTTCAGTTTATATTTACAAAAATTTTATAAACTGCTCCCCCAAAAAAAAAGAGGCATTCGAGCCAAATTCGAGGCCTCTATCACTATTGAAAAAATATACCACTTAATCTTCCAAAGTATACTAGAACGAGCAGGAATCGATTCAGAATTATATTTTTGGGGGTTTATTTTATAGTTTAAAAAATTTAGGGGAGCTATTCTATATAATTTTGAAATTATCTATAAAAAATTTGGGGTGCGAACTCCTATAATTTTAAATTATTTTAAAATTTTTAATATAATATATGATATTTTTCAAATTTTTGGGAGGTGAATTGACAACGAATAATAGAAGGCAATAATAATACTGTCGCTTTAATTATCTATACAAAATTAAGACGTGATTCTAATGAATTCTTTAAATTTGTGTGTTAAAAAAATTAACTTTTATTTATTAAGTGTTTGTTAATTTGGAAAAGTGAGTGAGTAAATAAAGTGTGTTTTAAAGTTTATATTAAGAGAGTATGCGACGATGAAAAAAAATAATTAAAGAATTACAAAAAATTAAAAATAAAAGTTAATCAATTCTTTCTCTCCTCACTCTGCCATGTGGCAGTTTTAAAAGTTGATAAACAATTGAGTTAATAAAAATGCTAGACAGTGGGTTCTACACTTATGTGAGATATTTAGTAAAAATTTTGATAAAATTTTTGAGGGCCTAGCATCACTCTTGAGTTAATTACCTAAAAATCTTATTTACAAATGTTATGGTAACTCAGGTCCTATCTAAATTTTTTTGAATCAATCTTATTTAGTAAAACTGAGAATATATTTTAGTTTTTTCTAATTTTTAAAATTTATAACATTATCAATTTTGTATAGTAGTATTCCAGATAATTGTTTCATTAACTGATAAAAAAAATAGAGTATAAGATTAAACGTTTTTACCTTTCTACTTATTGGTTTGATTCAACTATCTAATAAAATTGAAAACTTTATCAATTTTTTCCAGTTTTAAAACTAATAACACTATCAATTTTTTCATTTTTAAAGTTTTTTTTTTTTTTAAGTTGTGCACATCAATGTTCCATCATAATAACCCTTTATAAACATAAAATTTTCAGTTTTGCACAAAAAAAAAATAATTCAATTTTTTCAATTTTTTCAAAAATTATTTATTTATTTATTTATTTTTGCACATAATTCTTTTTAGGATATTTATCAATAAATCTCATCTCACAAACAAGTATTCTAATCAGTTCTAATTTTTTTTTCTATTGATCTGTTAAGTCCTATTAATGGAGAGTTTCTTTCCGTGTAGTGCTATTTTTGATTTTGGTAGTGTTTTGGTGGGCAACTATACCATTTTATTAATGCGACAGATATGATATGATTTTCCAATGTGGCAGGTATTAATATGACACTCCAACGATGTGGCACTCCAAAAAAATTAAAAATTCCTTAG